GTAGACGGTGTCTGAATGGCCAGGGACTTTGACAGACTCCTCCGGAAGAACTGGAGCTGCAGCCAACTTCACTGCAGCAGAGTAAAACGTCTCACCGCTCAGGTTGGAAGGGGCTTTGAGCGGGATGCTGGCGAACAATCAGACGGGACCAGAATCTCCTCAGGAGAATGTAGACCAAGGTGACCCTGGTGGTCTCGAGCTGAGGGACTTCTCACAGGGTGGGGGTGGGGGTGTTTGTGGTCTTTTCAGGTCCTTGGTGGCACCCCGTGGTCAAGCATCAAAAAACTGGAGACTTTAACGTGAAAGTGATGGACTGAGGGCTAAATTAGTGTAAGTCTTTATCCCCAAAATGTAAAGGAAGTGATAGAATGTCAGTGTTGGTTTGAATAAGCCTGTGGGAGGGGTGGAGATGAAGTGGGGAGCTGCCAGCTGGGTTCACCTGGTAGCACAGATAAGAGATGAGATGAGATGATATGTAGTTAGCTCCGTAAAAGAGGAAGCCCCACCCCCCTCTCCTGAGCAGTCTGAGGTCACGACCTCCAGCTGGCCCAGGCTGCGGCCCCCACCCAAGCCCGGTGAGGGAAGTGCTGTCTCTTGACGGGACAAATATGACCCAGCAGACGGGCAAGTGGCCAAGAGGAGCTCCCTACTGGCTTTTTCTTCTCTTAGCACAAGTGACACAGTGGCGTGCCCACTGACCTCTCTTCCTTCTTTCCAAGAAGGAAATCTTCCTGGCATAAAAATGTAAGTACACATTCCTCCTCATGAGACACAATCACAAGGTAAAGAACTTGCATCAGGCTTGTGAGCTGGCTCCTGGCCCCTGGGCGTCAACGATACCTCACCTATTCTTAAGACATCCACTGAGAGAACTTATTCAGGCAAAACATTTTGGAGCTTTTTCCGTTTAAAAAAATAATAATCTCCTTCTCTAGTTTTCTTTAACAAACCAAGTACATGACAGGCAAGGCCTGCAGATTTTTCTTTCTTTCTTTTTTTTTTTTTTTTGCCTACTTCCTCCTAAAATTTAAGTCTGTGGTTAATCAAGCTCTGTGAAAGACAGTTTCTCCTTCAGACTGTGGGCTCGCAGAGCTCTCTGACTAATACCCCACATTTTCTTGGGGTTTTTTTCTGAAGAGTGTACGCAATGAGAACAAAATTTTACGTAAGTGAGGTACAAGGAAATTTCTCAGGGTCTCCATTCTGTGACTTCACCAAATGTCAAGGACTTCTGAGCCAGCTGTCACCAGACACACGCCTGAAAACAAAGCAGTGGCACATACAGTGACAGATTTCCTGCTGTCGACTTAGCGCCAGCCTTTCTTCCTCTCAGGTAATAAGTCAAAACAGCCTGCTTGACTTTGCCACAATATTTTTATTTCCGTTGATGTCACCATTCTCTGTGTGGCACCACTGCAGGCATGGAAGTGGCGCCAGGCCAGGAGGTGGTGAGGTGCCGGTCTGGGGGTGGGCAGAAAGCAGGGGCAGAGACGTGAGCTGAATCTGAACTTGCTACTTCCTAGCTGACTGGCCTGGGGCAAAACCCAACCCTCTAGGAAGTTCTTTCTCTCATTTCCTATTCCTCGGGGAGACGGCAATACCCATGCTCCAGGGTGGTTTAAAAGGTAACAACACACGGACACATGATGTCTGGATGTAAAGTAGACTCCCAATAAATCGTGGCAATAATTATTATTGCTGACTCTGTGGATTCTGTAAAAAGAGTTAACACACTTACAGGGCCCGGAAGAGTATACTCAGTAAGCATCTGTTATCATTTATTATTGTGATCTACGGAAATTCAGACATCTTGTCCGTTTGGGATCTTCTTGCCTCACTGAGATGATGCCACTTATTTGGCTAATATACCTGATTTAGAAAAAGCAGAAGGTTTGGTATTTTCAGGAAACCTTTCACACAAGTTAGCAGCTTAAATGTGGCCTATGAAAGGGAAGTGAAATGATAAGTTCTGCATCTTAGAAAGAGCGACGAAGACTGCTAGTCAGAAAATGGGGTGGAGGAAGAGAAGAACATCTGTGGGGAGAAAAATCAGGAAGCCCCAGCAGGATTTCAGATTTGAACTAACGTGAAGGCTGCAGGAGAGACGGATCAGAGAGCAGTTTACAGGTTGGCTCGACTCGACTCCCGCTGGACGAAGGCAAGGAAGGAATCGCAGATGACTTGGGATTTCCCCCCTGGAGCAACTAGCTGAGTATTGATTTCACTTCACTTGTGGAGAGGAGGAATGGGCTTGGGGGATAAGATAATTAGTTTAGAATTTAGTATTTTAAATTGGATCCTTCCATAGTCACAAAGCTTATTCAACCAGCAACAAAGAGACATGGCTTTATTCTTAGCTACTTTTGTCATGTATTTTCAAACTACTCCATGATTTAAATAGCAAGCATCACCAAGAATAAAGGCACATACAGAAAATAAGCACAATCAGAGTTTTCTGTTCTGATGCCAATACATGAGGTGACTGAGTCCACAGGTATGCAACATTTAGGAATCGTGACTAAAAAAATAGAATATTGACATATGATTCAAAGATTTACAATCAGAGGTTAATTAAACTGGTAAACACTAGAGTGGGAGAAGTGAAAGTAATTTATAGTCTCCATCTTTGTTTATTTAAATGTATCTCAGAGATTCAAGAAAAAAAAAATGTTAAGGAGAGGAACATCCTAAAGGAGAAAGAAAGGAAGGCAACAAGAAAGCATCCAGTAATATTAATTTTGTAAATGATGATTTGGAAAAATATTTAAAAGGCTGCTATCTTACAGTAGAATGGCATAGCAATACATAATTGATTTATAAAATAAATGATGCTATTTGAGTCAATTGTTATATTTACAAAGCAAATATCCACCTGAAAAGAATCTGACCAGAAGCCACTTTTCACAGTGCTATTTTTCATATTTTCAGTAAGATTTTAAAAATCCCTTTTCAGTAACAGAAGGGATACCCTAACATAGGCTATAACTGTATTTCCAACATTGACTTATAATCAAGAAGCTTCTGACCATGTCTTACTCAACCTCATATCCCAGTGCCAAGCACAGTGCGTGGCCTGTGGAGGTTCACATGAGAGTTCATCTAACAAAGGAAGAAAGAAAGAGCAGCATGCATCAAAAATATTAATAAGTGGGCCAGCCCGGTGGCACAGCGGTTAAGACTGAACGTTCCACTTTGGCCCGGGGTTCACCAGTTCAGATCCCGGGTGCGGACATGGCACTGCTTGGCAAGCCATGCTGTGGTAGGCGTCCCATGTATAAAGTAGAGGAAGATGGGCATGGATGTTGGCTCAGGGCCAGTCTTCCTCAGCAAAAAGAGGACGATGGGCAGTAGTTAGCTCAGGGCTAATCTTCCTCAAAAAAAAAAAAATATTAAGAAGCAATTTCTGGGGTCGGCCTATGGCCGACTGGTTAAGTTCACATGCTCCTCTTCGGCAGCCCAGAGTTTCAGCGGTTCAGATCCTGGGCCCGGACATGGCACCGCTCATCAGGCCATGCCGAGGCGGCATCCCACACAGCACAATCAGAAGGACCCACAACTAGAATATACAACTATGCACCGGGGGGCTTTGGAGAGAAGAAGAAGGGGAAAAAAAAAAAAAAAGATTGGCAACAGATGTTAGCTTAGGTGCCAATCTTCAAAAAAAAAGAAAAAGAAATAAAAAGAAAAAGAGGAAGCAATTTCTACCTCCCCAGACAAAGCAACTTCATGTTCAGGAATTTAGCAGTTAATATGGTTTAAAATATTGGAAGTTTTTCTTTATAACTGTAGTATGACCAAGTCTAGGATAGCTTTGAAAATAAGGAAAATCATTGCATCCATAATTCCACCAGACAAATAGATGAAGGGTTAGCAGTTTGGTTTAGCAAAGAATAATGTTACCATTATTAGGATTAATTTATAAAGCCACTTACAAGCATGCGTTTTTTGAAATAGCCAGATTTTAAAAATTGACAGTGCTGTGGATACCACCCTCCCATACAAGTCGAAAAGAAAAATAAAAGGCATTTTACAGAGAAATTTTTAAAATGCAGATCATGAATATAAAAAGTGAAGGACGATTCTTTGCCAGCCTCTCTGACTGGGAGAGAGATGATGCTCCCAGCCTTTTTCACGTCTAGGATGGTGTTGCTTTATCTGCATAGTTTATGCTAACATGGACTGAAGGGAGGAAATTTTGTAACTAATAGATAGCTAAGCCAACTGACCAGAAACTTAAAATATCTCAAATGGAGTATCTGAGAGCTACTGGTCTGCAGTTTGACACAGCTGTGCTCTTATAGATGTGGTAACCAGGTGAGCTTTAGAGAACTGGACAATGGAATATTATTCAGCCTTAAAAAAGGAAATTCTGTCACATACTACAACATTGAGGACATTGTGTTAAGTGAAATAAGCCAGTAACAAAAAGACAAACCCTAAATGATTCCACTTCTACTAGGTACTAAGGAAGTCAAATTCGTAGAAACAGAAAGTAGGATGGAGGTTGCCAGGGGCTGGGAGAGCGATCACAGAGGCTACGTGTAATGGATGTAGAGTTTCAGATCTGCAAGATGGAAAAGGGCTGGAGATGTACTTCACAACAACGTGAATACACAACACTACTGAACTATACACTTAAAAATGGTTCAGATGGTAATAAAAAAAAGAGAGAGAGAGAACTGGAATCAAAAAACTAAGCCAGTGGTTTGGAGTCTTCTAATAAAATTTAGTATTATTTATAGGTGAAGGACATTGCTAAATAATTCAAGGCCAAATTCTCCTAGGCTATTAAATTATTCTTTGTGAAAAAGGCTTATAAGCTTCTTTTTTGTGTGTGTGAGGAAGATTAGCCCTGAGCTAACATCTGTTGCCAGTCTTTCCCTTTTTACTTGAGGAAGATTGTCGCTGAGCTAACATCTGTGGCAATCTTCCCCTAATTTGTATGTGGGACGCTGACACAGCATGGCTTGATGAGCAGTGTGTAGGTCCACACACGGGATCCCAGCCTACAAACCCTGGGCTACTGCAGCGGAGCGTGCGAACTTAACCACGACACCACCAGGCTGGCCCCACCCTTTCTTTTTCCCCCTGAAATTGATGAACTGTGGATCTGGGACTATGGGACCAAGACTCAGGAGGCCTGGTTAGCCTGGCCATGTGATTTCAGTGGCTGCTTGACCTCCCTGAAACTCAACTAGGCCTGAGGATGATCTCTGTTGCCTCCTGCCACTGTTAGAGCCTGTTCCTGCAGGGATAGGGGCCCACCGGTCCATAGGGCTGTGCCCATCAGACAGGGTACTTGTCAGTGTTTACATTTTATTCACTGTAGTCATTTGAAGTATATTTTTGTATTACTAAATTAGCAATACAATTTAGTAGTTATTTTATATTCCTAAAGCATGGATGTATATATACTAATTCCTGGAGTAAACTGAGCATTTACTAAGTGCCAAGCACTCGGCTTAGCACTTTGCATATTCAATTTCCACAACCGGAATTGGGCCAGGGAGGTTGAGTAACTTTCCCAAAGCCACACAGCTTGTGGGGTTAAGGACTTAGAACTCTGAACTCAACTTTTCTGCCTGCAAAGCCCATGCTCTGAACCACTAAGGTAGACTAGGACAGAACAGAGAGCTTGCATAAAACATAAGAATTCCAAGAAAGTTTGTAAAAGAATGTAAGAAATCCTGACAGAATGAGGTCTTTTATAAATTTACCTCTCTCATTTCATCCGTCCTTGTGAAACCACCAACCTGGCTCTTCTCAACCCATTACCTTCCAAACCCCAACAACTCTAGCCTGGGTGCTCGACAACACAAAAGTTCGTATGTGCTGAATTGGACTCACGAGAAGTTTTAATCTGTGTCTCAAAATTCTTAACATACTAGCAGAGAAGACTTTGTGCTCCAAGGGGAACAAATTATTCAGATGTGCTTGAAAGTGCTACATGCAAGTACTTTGAAGAATAATTATCAAAAATATTTAACATGTGTGATTGTTCCAAGTCAAACAAGCAAGACAACACACAGTGTTTTGTGATTTGCCAAATTTCGTCCTTTTTTTAAGGTAGCCAGGCACGGATTTGAACACAAACACACACCAGCTGGCTGAAATAAGTGCATTTATAAGTAAATATTTAACGGACTGATTTCTGGCCCGCTGGAAGCACTCCATTCCAAAAAGATAAGAAAAATAACAGTATTCTTTGAAAAAAATGTGGATAAAACAGTAATGGTTTATATAAAGATAAGTTTATCTGTAGCTGGAACTATTAAAGAGTTGTCACTATGAAAGAAACATTATTTTTGCCCTTATATTCAGAATATTTTTCACTGTCAAAATATTTGGCTTTTATGGTTTGGTTCTAAATAGATCATATTTGAAAAGTAAATTATAAATTTGTAATGGCATATTAACATACATTAATAGAGACCAAAAGGCAACATCCTAATCCTGACTAAGTACAGTTTTTGCCTACGCTGCCCCTGTACCCATGTGGCTGAAACAGACTAGAGAAAATCACACATCCATGCTCAGCACTCCCGATTCAGGCAAGAGTCCAGCCATGGGTGGGCCTCCATACCGCTCAGTAATTCCAGCCCCTCTCATGTCCTAGATGACTATTTCATACCTTCCTCTCCATCCTCTAATACTACCTTACCCAGGTTCACGCTCAGCTGGTGCCCTTGGCCTTGCTGCCTATTTCGCTGAGAAAATGGCAGTCAGGAAAAACCCCACAAGCTGGTTCCTTCCCACCCACCCATACACCGGCGTCATGCACCTGTCCTCCATGTTCGTTATCACTTCTCTGGCTGAACTGTCCGTGCTCCTATCCCAGGCCAACCCCTCCACTTGGGCACTAGATCTCACCCCTTTCACCAACTCAAGGACGTTGCCCCAGCAATTCTCCTCTAGCCCTCCTGCATCCTCTGCTTGCCCTGTTTACTGGATCGTTCCCGTAAGCATACCAACACGCTATTATTGTCCCCATCTTAAAAGAAAATGAAACTCTCTTAACGCCGCTTCCCCCTCCAGCTGACTTCTCGTTCTCTGCTTCCCTTTATAGTAAAACTCCTCGAGGGTGGTGCTGTCTCCAATTCTCCTCCCATTGGCTCTTAACCATTCTAATCAGGCTTTGTCCCCAGCACTCTATCAAGGTCACCAATGCCCTGCATGATGCTACAGCCAGTGGTCAAACATCCCACTTGACTTACCAACAGTGTCTCACACAGACACTTTTGGTTCTTTCCCCTCTTGGCTTCCAGAACCTCACACTCTCCTAGTTTTCTTCCTGTTTCACTGACTCTTCCTTCTCAGTGTCCTTTATGAGTTCCTCCTCATCTTCCTGACCTCCTATACCTGGGGTGCCTCAGAGCTCATTCTTCCACTTCTTTTCTTTTCTAGCTTCATTTTCTCCATTGGTGACAGCATCCAAACCAAACTGATAACTCCTGATTTGTGTATCTAAATCCTCATTCAACATCTCAGTTTAGATGTGTATAAGGAATCTCAAACGTAACAAGCCCCAAACCAAACACTTGACCTCCAGCCTCCAAACCTGTTTCTCCCAATTTTCTCCGTCTCAGTAAATGGCAACTTCACCCTTTCTGTTTTTCAGGCCAAAGAACATGGAGCTAGCCTTGTCTCCCCTCCTTTTCTCACACCCCATCTTCTCTCCACAGGCAAATCCCATTACCTCTATCTTCAAAATATACCCCGAATCTGACCAGCTCTCATGCCTCAGCTCTTATCACTCTGCTTCAAGCCTCACCTCCTGCATTATTCAATAACATCCTCATTGGTCTCCCTACTTCCACTCTTGCCTCATGCAGTCTACAGCAAGATGGTGTGAATTTTCTGCTCAAACCCCTTACGGCGGCTCCCAGAGTAAAAGCCCAGGTCCTTTCAGTGGTCCGTGGTCTGCCCTCCACAATCTCCACGAGCCACCTTCTTTCTTCTCTGACTCCACCTCCTGTCTCCCTCCCCTGTTCGCCCCCGTCTAATCATACTCGCCTCTTTGTCGTTGTTCTCTCTGCTTGGGGCTCCCCTCCCCCAGATTGCCACATGGCTTGCTCCAATCCCTCCCTCCCAACTTTGCTCAAATGTCATCTTCTCAGAGAGGACTTCTCCAGACCACTGTTGGTCCCTTCTAGGTTCTCGCTGGGTCTCTGTAACAAAAGACCGATTAAGAAGAGAAAAGCATACAAATTAACCTTCGTAAGGAAATGAAGACCCGAAGGAAGGTGAGGGTAAGCATTTTCACCCTGGGTTTGATGAAGACTGATAGCACACAGCTAAGGGTGGTAAACTGGGGGAACTGAGCGAGGCCTGTGTGCTCCTCTCAGAGTTTCTTTGTCTTCAGAGATAAGGATGCTCCCTTCTTCCAGATAGAGGCAGGGCACCTCTCACAAGAGCGGCTTCTGACCTGCGTCAGGGGAAGTCAGAGTCCTTGCAGCACCTGCTGTTTATCAAATTCCTTCAGCTTAAAATATTCAATATGCCAAGGTGCCATATCCTGGGGTAGCATGTCTTGAACGCTGTCACCACCCTATTTAAAATTCCAACCCACAGCCCCTAGCTCCTCCCCATCCAGCAATCATGTTCCTCTTCTCTTTTGTCTACCATGTTATTTTACTTACTTTTTAGTTGTCTGCCTTCCCCAACCCAAATGGCAACTTCATAAGGGCAAATATTTTTTTTGTAATGAGTTATTCACAACTGTCTCTCTAGCATCTAGAACAGTGCCTGCCACAATTATTTATTGAATGAATGAAAGAAAGACGGACTAGATGGGCCGTGGTTACTGATATAGATATATTTTACTATACACTACTCTGTACTTGGTACTCTGGGTCTATTTTCTCATTTAACCTTTGCATCTATGTAGTGCTCATTATCACTATTTTACAGATGAGAGAACTGAGTCACAGACGAGTCAAGTCACTATGATGGTCGTGCAACCATAAGTGACAGAATCAGGTTTCAAACCCAAGTGTGCTTGGCCCCGAAGCCGGAGATCTGACAGTCCACTTTGTTCACAGCACCCTAGCTCTGGCTTCAATCCATGCCATCAATGGACATGCAGTCACTCTATCACAAATCAATATCAAGGTTTCCGACTGGTCCCCAGAGAGATACCAGGCCCGGATCAGTTATTGTACCACACCATGGGGACAGATTTGCCTACTTCCTTTTATAGGCTGTTGTGAGTCATGAGTTTTCTATACCACGTGAAACATCTGAATGTTTGGAACACTCTAGATGATCAGTTTACCAAAGACTTTCTGTTTCATATCTGTTTTAAGTGGGGTTTCTATTCTTTCCAGACAACTGCCTTAAATAAAAAGGGAAGTGGACTCTCTAAGAAGGAAGAGAATAACATATTTCAGAGAGATATAGAATATTTCTGTGCATAGAATATTTCTGGTAGAATAGACAAGAAGACGATGACAGTATTGCTTCTAGAAGGAAAAACAAGGGATTAGGGAACAAACACGAGAAAGGAACTGACTTCTCACTCATACCGCTTGCGCCTTTTGAAGTTTTGTGCCCTGTGCATTAAATCCCTTCTAAAAATAAGCAAAATAACTTGAGAATGACAATAATGGCAGTGCACCCTGTCTGGCCTCCCACTGAGAGGGCAGCGAAGATGACACATTGCAGCCAGAAGGTTCCACGACACTGCCTGCTCCATCAAAGTGACAGTCATTCGAGCTCCCTCACGGCCTCAGTTTCACCATCTGCAAAATGAAGATAATAATTAGAGCTTGCCTCACTTCATGAACGGGGGTCCGCTGAGAGAGAGCACAGTCTAAGTGTAAAGCATGATACATGCCTAACTTGTCATTATCTTTTAGGAAAAAGCTGAGTTTGGGTGGATAAGAAAGCAAGCCAGCTCATTGAGCTATGAAATGTGAAATGGGGCCAGAATAGCAAGAGTAACCGTCTCCATATATCATCATAAGTTCTTGGAAGTAAGAAAATCAGTAGAAAATCTGTTGCTTGGTCTCAAACAACTTGACTTTAAATTTAACGAATGTAAGCAAGATTATCATTTGCATCATTCCAGCTCCTCTGTTCTCCGGTCTTATGATGATTATGTGAATTTCAGTCTAGATTGTTCTTTTATTCTCACAATGCACAGACGAGCTGGAACCTAGAGAACTGGAAAGATTTGCAACTCATTTATAGAATTGCTAGAATCGCATGATGACAAATTTTCAGTTATGTAATAAAGGACTCTGAATTTTAAAATACTGAAGTTATCCGTTGGGTTATAGAGGCAGCCCCGCCCTGAGACACAATGATGATTGTATTCAAATTCATGGAAAAAACTTGATTTTTGGCTATAGATAAGAGGGTAAAAACAAGGTGTAATGTGTAGAATTAATGTTTAAGCCACACATTAAGTAATCAATGAAGGAAAACAAAACGACAATCTTCAAGAAAAGGCTAGTCTCCCTAAATACCATAGTTTAAGAAAACCTAAAAACTAAGGGCACAGAGCATGCATTTCAGGACTGTTTGGGAACCTGTTACTCTCGTTCGTTGGTTCGTTCATTATACCATTTAATGGAATGGAGACATGCTGTATCCTAAAGTGTTTAAAACACTGCTTGGGGAAAAACTTGATTAAAGCTCTGTTTCCTCATTTTTCCTTTTTCTGATTGGTTCCTCCTTCCCTTCCATCTTGGTGTTTGTAGGGGAGGTGATTCCCTTCCTCCAAATGTCCTCCCAAACTATGAAGACAAAGGTCTACGCTTATCTAACCAGTCAGAAGACCGCGTCTCTTTCCCCTCTCCAGTTACCTGCTGGCACAGCAGGGGAGGGATGGGGAACTGTCCTGGCTCCGCCACTCTGTGTGTTTACCTGCAGCCTGGACCTCAGGGTGTAGTTTTCCGTAGCTGTGAATCGGCCAGTCCTCCACCCCAGGGCGGTGGGAGGAGCAAGCGAAGGGATTTGAAAGCGTTTCATAAACTGTTATGCACACACGAAAGTGCATGATTATTGCTACAAAAAATTAATTAGGAAAGATGAGCAATCCTCTTATCATCTCCCAGGGTCTCTTTCCTCACTTCCTCTTTCTCTCCCCTCACCGTCCTTCCCTCCTTCCCCACTCTAATAGCTTTTTCAGCTGTGAACACACCACACAAGCAGGGTAATAAGAGCCAACGGTCTGAACTGTGAAAACAAAACAAAGGAAGAGTCAATGTAAATGACACCCAAATTACCGAGAAATGTGAAATGAAAACAAGCTCAGAGCCAAATTCCAGGAATATGCTATGTTTCAGATTTGCTGACCCCTTTGTGATTTCATATTTGCCAAAGTCTTCAAGCTTTGGTCATTAGTCTTCCACTTCCTAATGCAAGAAAGTAAATGCTGACTTGTGTCATTTGCTCCAGATGCCACCGGAAATGGCATCTTCTCCCCAGAGGCTGGCTCACAAACGTAGCAGCACCCGGAGGTGAACTTGTCTGCCCCACAGCCCAGCCTGGACTCTCCCACCTGGCCCTCTGATCTACAGCCAAGAAAAGAGTCTGTCTAAGGAAGAGATCTAGAATCAACCGAGAGGTACACTGTTTAATCATCAGTTACTTTAATGAGTAAGTACTTTCTAGTTTTCTCATTTTATTCTAAGTATTAATTTTGCCTTTTTGAGCAGCTTTTCTTTGGGATCCTCACTTCTTGGGCACTTACTGTTGGAAGAAGCACTATCTTAGCCCACCCCACCGCAGCCCCGCTTAACCGAATAGCCCTAAAGAGACAACCGTTATTTTGTAATAACAATTTGTGATTGATAAGCTACTAAATCTCTAAAAATGTACAGTGACAAAAACAGCCAGTTGTGAACTGGAGAAAGGATGTGAAGTACCTATTGTCTGTGCAATCTTGTATGTTGTGGTTGACCACAAAGGCTTGGCATCAACTTTGACTTCCAGCTCTGCTTTTTATAAAATGGATGAGCTTGGGCAGCTGACTCAATATTCAAACTTAATTTTCGAACGCGTAAAATGAAGAAAAATAAAGTACCAATTTCACAGGGTTCTCAAGAGGAATAAATAGATAAGTGATAAAACACTTAACATACTGTTGGAATGGGTACTAAATGACAAATTAGTGTTACTAAATAAGTGAAATACTTCATTTAACTGGAAAACTCCCTTAAGGACTAAATGCCATCCCCCAAATATGCTGAGGTGGCTCAGAATAACAACAATTAACAATTGTAGAGTTGACAGAGCATTTCATTTGATTTCCACAGTTAACCCCAAGGTGGGGAGGGCAGAGCTGTTGGCTTATTTTTGTGACTGAGGAATAAGGGTGAAGCTGAGAATTCTGCTGAGCGTGGCGGTGGGAAGAGAAGCTCATAGGCCCAGACTTAGAGCTGCAGAGAGGAAAGCATGACTTGGGAAAGTTAGAAGTTATTTCGTGTGTTCATTTCTCCAGCATAGATTCTTGTTTTCTCAGCTTCCTCACCTCCGGGACCTTGGCCATAGGCCTTGAAACTGGGGAAATCCTCGGTCCCTCTGCCAACAGGCACAGCAGTGGGAACGCAGGTCTTCCAGATCCATCTAGGCAATGGTGTGGGTAGGGAGCAAGGAAGACAGAGACTGGCTCTTAGAACCCCATTTTTAATTCAAAAACTTTTTTCCCATGTAGAAACACTATTGCACTTAGCATTCAGATACTACACTGGTAATAATAATAATAACAATGATAAAATAATATCCATTTTTGAGGTCAGCTGGGTGGCACAGCAGTTAAGTTCGTGAGCTCTGCTTCAGTGGTCTGGGGTTTGCCAGTTCGATTCCTGGGCGTGGACATAACCCACGGCTCATCAAGCCACACTGTGGCAGGTGTCCCACATATAAAATAGAGGAAGATGGGCATAGATGTTAGCTCAGGGCCTATCTTCTTTAGCAAAAAGAGGAGGATTGACAGCAGATGTTAGCTCAGAGCTAGTCTTCCTCAAAAAAAAAAAAAGATCCATTTTCAAAGCTCTTTTGTGTAATCTCCTAAGAGGAGCATAAAGGCGATTTCTACCATTTAAAGGATGAAAACGGAAGTGGAAGTGGCAGAAACCCCAGCCTGCTGACGCGGCCTAACAGTCAGGTCACTGGTTAAATGGGCTTTTATGGCCATTCCCGGAGACAATTTTCAGAATTCAACCTGTTCATCAGTTGAAAGCAACTTAGTCACCCTTAGCTCCCCAGCGCCCTTCCTTATTCAACCATTGGTTAGAATCTAGAGTGGTCAGCATAAGGATAAAAAGTTTTGAAACACAAATGTAGCTTTAGCGTGGCACTGTTTTCTGTTGACTCATTAAGAGCAATAGCTAACTATCAGAGGGATGAAAATGGAGCTAAGCTGACTTCACACCTGCTGTTTTCTCATGGAAAAATTAAAAGCTGTGCACAAAACATTGCTTTGTTACGTTTTTCAACAGAGAATAAAAAGGAAAACTACATGCAAATTTTTTTTTTCTGGATAGGACGATTTTTTCCTCTTACTTTTAACAAATATTTATAGCTGAGGTTAAAAGCTCAGGCTCTGGAGCCGTATTTCTTCCTAAAGAAACAAGACAAAACCTTAAGCTTATCTAATTGATTGCAAGATTCACTGTCAATAACAGACCGGTTCTGCCTTCCACCCGCTGAACAACCCTGGGCGATTTATGTAACCTCTCCAAGCCTCAGTTTATTCATCCATAAAATGGAGATGATAATAGTTCCTATCTCACTAGGTTGTGAGAATAGGCCTGGCACAGAGTAAATGCTCAAGGGATGCTAACTATAACGCATAAGGCATTGAGCCGGGAGGGGTACAAAGAAAGGTGAGCCCCACCTCTGCCATCAGGAAGTAGGATGGAAGGAGGCAGAAAGGCACACGGCAGTTAATTATAATACAAAACCGAACCAACTGCTAGGGGCGTCCGTCAGAGGAAGGAGATTCTTCTGCCTGAGAAAATAGGGAAGGCTCTCAGACAGAATTGCCTTTTGAACAGGATCTTAAAGAAGGAACAGAATTTCAGTAGAGGCAGGCCTTAGGGAACATTCAAGGCTGAGTCACAGAGCAAACTTGAAGAGGTGAGAAAAAGCCCTCTGGGTACACACAGGCTCTTATTACTCATTCACAGGCTTTCGGGAGATGCACAGAAGGAAGGATCATATCCTAGGTTAAAAAATAAAGCTTATAAATGCAAAACATTGGAGTGATGCCAGCATATCAAATCAAAGTGAACATATGAAATTAAAAAGGTAGATAATAGGGGCTGGCTTGGTGAGGTAGGGGTTAAGTTCACGCACTCTGCTTCAGCAGCCCAGGGTGCACGGGCTGGGATCCCTGGCATGGACCCACACACCACTTGTCAAGCTACGCTGTGGTGGCATCCCACATACAAAATAGAGGAAGATGGGCACAGATGTTAGTTCAGGGAAAATCTTCCTCATGCAAAAAAAAAGTAGGTAAAATTTTATGTGAGAAAACACATATAAAATAAAAACTATACTGTTTCAGAAAGTGTTTCAATCAAAGTAAGACACACTTTCTTAAGGGTGAAGAGAAATTTTTATGGAAAGTAAAAAAGTTAACCACAAAATCTAAAACAGAGCTGAAACTGGTCACTGTGCTCAGCTTCCCAAAATATATTGCAACATCCTCCTCCCCAAAATATATTCTCAAGAATTATCTAATTTTTTCATTGCCAAGAAATAGTTGAGCTATTCTATAATGAGACTATTACACAAGGATTTTGATGTTTTAGGAATAGTGGAAACAGCCATGGTCACGAAAAATAAAAATGCCTTGATCTGAGCACTGCAGAAGTAGTTTATTCCCACCTGGTTATCCTCAGCCAACGTTTCAAGCAGAAATTATAAAGCAGCTCTCTGAAAATGCAGTGAGAATATGCTGCCATCATCCCCATGGATGGTCAATATTTATTTAGAGAGATTGTTCAAAGGTCATAAGAGAATTATCTTAGGAATTCAGTCACCGTTTGATGGGAAGATAAATAGGCGTCTAGAGAATTTGGAAATGATAAGAGGCCCACACAGACTAAATTACTCCGTGCCCCTCCCCCACCCTTGGAACTTTATTCTACACACCTGAATATGTCTGGAACTCAGGAGACAAGTTGGGGCTAGCTAAATTGATCCAGCACTTAAAAACGTCGCAGACCTCATGCTGATGACTTTCCATATGTTCATTTAACCCTCACTTCTTAAGAAATCCATAGTATTATTTCCGTTTTGTTGATGAGGATTCTGAAGTGCAGAGAGATTACTTAATCTTCCCTGAGTCTCGGAGGCTAGTAAGTGGTGGAGCAGGATGCAAACCCAGGGCGCTGACTCCGGGGCCCACCCTCTCAGCCACTGGGCTTTATTGCCTCAATTCGGAGTCATCTGCATACAAATGGTAATTGATAAGGAGCCGTAGAATTTGTTTCCATCCAAACTGGGACATTTTTAGGGGGGAGAGGCACTATTAATAATTATCCTGGGAAAACAGGGGTAAATCACAACAGTTAGGGGCAAAAGGGACATATGATCACCTTATTGACTGGTGCCAGGAGTGGATGAATTTACCAAGGGAAAGAATGTTGAAGAAAAGAAGAAAGGAGCCGATTAGCGAGCCTTGAGAAAGACCAACATTTGGGGAATTGCCAGAGAAAGAGAAAGTCACAAAGGATATTGGGGGAGGTGAGACAGGAGGCAAGGGTGTCAGACGCTGGGGCATTTTTTCAGAGAGGAGTAATCTACGGTCCCCTAGTCCCAAGAAGCTGGGAATCGGCGGAGGCGGTAAGGACTGAGAAGTGGCCACTGAAAGGAGCAACAAGGAAATCACTGGTGATTTACTGACAAACATTTCTTCGGTTTGCTGGAGTTGGAAGCCAAATTAAAGTAAAAGGAGGAGTGAGTGGGAGGTAAGGACTCAGACACAGCCTGTGCAAACAACTCTTTTTACAAAGTGGCCTTGAAGGGGAGGCAAAAGATACCACTGTCCTGGAGGTGGAGTCAAAGAAGTTTCCTTTCTTTTTTAAAGCAAGAAACTAGAATGCCTTTAATGCTTAAAGGAAGGGGCCAGCCAAAGGAGAGTGAAGAAAAAGTAGAATGCATAATTATCCCCTCCCGGGGGCCCTCCTGGAGCAAAATTCCTGAGGAGGTAGGAGGACAGGACGGGCCACCTGAGCTGACGATTACTTTTACGTCTGAGGAGGTACAGTTCTGCCCCAGCGGGAGGGAGGCAAGGGGACCGTGGGCTTGAAAGCCGGAGGGAGGGAACCAGAGCTAGGTGCTGTCTGCAGGCTCCTGTTTTCTCTAGAGTCTCAGAGGGGAGGGGTTGCAGTGCCTGAGTTTAAAGGGGTCTCAAGCACGGCAGGCACCGTGCTAGGCCCTCGATAGACATTGACATGATCTCTTCATTTTCACTATTGCTCAGCGAGGTAGGTGAGATTGCCCTTGTTTGACACCAGAGGAAACTACAGCTCAGAACCGTGGGCAGCGAGCCCAGGAGCACACAGCTGTTCGGGGCCAGAGTCCACGTCTGACTTCATCATCTGGAAGTGAAAGTCAGGTCACTGCCTTCCGGGATCTCTCATTCA